ATATCTGAATAAGAATAACCAACTACTTTTAATTCTAATAAAGTTAATTGTATAATAATCTTAGTTGGCTACTTTAAAGAGTCGAAAGATCTTAAAATTAGCCCAAGAGTAGTTATTTTTTCTAAAATAAGGACACCATCGAGATGTACCTACAACAACATCAACGACGACAAAACAACTTACCATCATCATCATATTCAATTCCGAATAGTATACAACTTGGTCAACAATATCAATATGGTTATCAACAGCAACCTATGGTTTATCAACCATATGGTTTTGATTCATATAATATGCCATTAAATTGGCAAGTTTAAAAAATATACTCAAAAACCATTATCACAACGACAAGAAACTATAAACAATAAGAAAGGTTCTGAATTATTTAAAAAATATATTGTAATTGCACATAAAAGAGCTCAATTAGAAATTGAAAGAGAAGTGCATTTTTTATCCGAACGAGGCGTCCAAGAGACGCCAGTCGAGACACAAGAGTCAAAAGATCTAAATCCAGTAATGAGAGTGGATTTTTTGCTCCAAGCATAATTAATGAAGCTAATATTAATTTAAATAAAAGAGAAGAGGCCCTTCTTAAACTTGGCCCTCCATATATTCCTAATAACCCTCATCTCGCTCATAAACGTATGAATAATGAGATAGAAGTGGTTGTAAAGAAAATAAATAAAATCTTTAGTGAACATGGTTGGGTATTACCTAAAGAACGAGTAGTGATCTTCATGGATTCACTCGAAAAGATCTTGACTGATTGTCATGAAAGATACCCTCCAGCTGTTCAAATAAAAGAAATTAATACTTTAAAGAAAAAATTTGAAGCTACACAAACAGTCATCAGAAAAACAGATAAATCAAAAGTTTTCCATATTGGTGAACTTGATGACTATAAAGTGAAGGCTCAAGCACATATGAATAAGACTAAAGCATATCAAGATTTGGGTACAACAAATCCACTTGAATCTTTAGTTGAACATACAAATAGTTTTCTTTATGGTTTATGGTTTAATAAACATATTTCTCAAAGGCAATATGAGAAATTAAAGGTAAATAGAGAAGAGGCTGAACTAGCCCATCTTTATTTTTTACCAAAAGCACATAAACCAGGAACACCCTTAAGACCTATAATGTCTGGTCTGAAATCTCCAACTATAGAAATTTCTAGATGGTTGGACAGTTTATTAAGACCATTGTTCGATCGTCTAGCCATAAATACGACCGTCAAAAATGGTCTTCAACTAATTCAACAAGTTGAAAAATGGTCAGCTACTTATCTGACACCAGCCACATTATTTGTAACAATGGATGTTACTGATTTATATACAATGATTCCACAAGAAGGTGGAGTAACAGCCATAAAAAAACTAATGGAGGCATCTAGTTTAAAACAAATCGATGGTGTTAAAAAAGAGATTATATTAGCTCTTACCAGATTTGTTATAACTAATAATTATTTCTATCTTGATGGGTCATATTATAAACAAATAAGAGGTGGAGCTATGGGTTCACCCTTGACCCTCACTATAGCTAATGCATACATGTACTTTGTTGAACGTCCCATTTCAAAATGGGCCAACAAAACATGTTCATTATACTTTCGATACATTGATGATTTATTCATAATGTCAAATGTACATGCAGATATATTAAAAGGTCTTGTAAATTTCTGGAATAGAATCGATAAGAATATCGAGTTTTCAGAATCTATTGGACAAACTGCAGAGTACCTTGACGTAAGATTGATGATTAGTGAAGGAAAATTGATGTCTGAGGTTTTTCATAAACCCTCACATGAACCATATTTTCTTCCTTTCACAAGCGTACATGCTAAACATATAAAGAAAAATATTCCATATGGTGCTCTTGTAAGAGCAATCAGATATTCTTCTACGTATAATGCCTTCAAACATGAAGAAGCTCATATATGCATGTCATTGCTACTTAATAAATATCCTATAGAAATTATTCTTAAACAATTTGAAAGAGTCCTACAGACATTTCAATGCGCAGCGCCTACACAAAATAACTATTCTGAAATAAGAAAGTTTTTGTTAAACGCTGGAGAGAATTATACAAAGAAGGCTGGAATTGATTTCGAGGTCGACATCATGTGTCATTTCTCTTATTGTAAAGGAATGCATGATTTTTCGACTCGTTTTCATAAACTCTGGAACGATTGTTTTTCAGATACAGCCATTTGTAATATGAAGCCAATTCTTGGTTCTAGAAGATTAGATAATCTTCAAGATTATCTTGTCAGAAAGAAACCAGAAAAATCAATGCTAAAAATTTTAAATGAACCACTTACCTGATGTATATTTCATCAAAAGAACACATCGCATAGGTGTACTAATTTATATTCGGAACATTTCTCTCTGATAAGAGTTCCAATCTAATTAATACACTTTTCTGGGATAGGAGTTCTATTATTATAATAGGAGTTCTATTATTATAATTAGAACACTTCTCTAACATAGAAGTTCTGATCGATTTAGAACACTTCTCTAACACAGAAGTTCTAATCAATTTAGAACACTTCTCTTGTTTGCAGATATGTATATCTATGGTTGGTGCAATCGCAATAACGTTAACCAATAACACAATCGATGGATGGTTATTTTCGGTCCAAGATCATACCTATCTTACGAACAATGGTCCTTTCTGACCAAATAGCGCCGTTTTCTCTTTGTTGTTCGTTTTTCACGAGTAATTAGAGAGGTCCATTCGACCATCTATTTTTCTTGTCAATCTTATAGGTCCTTTACACCATAAGATTTCGTTCTCATTTTTGTTGTTGTTGTATAAATTAATTTTTCGGATTAGTTTTTTGTAAATTCTGATGACGTGTGGTTTAAATCACACAGAAACTAGTCAATAAATAAACATTTACAAAAACACAAAAAACTTTTTTATTTCATCTCGAGAGTAGTGAACTCATTAGAAAGAGGTTATATCTGAATAAGAATAACCAACTACTTTTAATTCTAATAAAGTTAA